GGCTCGGGGACGGGACGCTGCCAGCCCCCACGAGCTGCCTCGCTATTGCCCGATGAGCGAGCGCCAGCCCTCAGAGCTCGGGGGTGAGGTTATTTTTTTACGTTCGACTGAAACACGGAGTGCCCTCGGCTCTGCCGCTTCCTTTGTGCTCAGCCCCACGTGAAGCTGAGCACCAAGGCAGGGCTGCACCTCCTCCTCCCTCCCCTAAGTCTCTGCAAGTTGGGATGCATTAAACTTTTTCTTACATTTAAAAGTCGGAAAATATGATTTTTATGGAAATTCTATACAAGTTTGGAGGCAGGTTGGCAACTTGCGGGCAAATTAACTGTGCTTGTGCATCGGCTGGCTCCAACTCATCACCATACCTAGGGAGGTCCTCTTTAGATAAAAGCTGGCCTGAAAAACTCAAAACTATTCAAAAGGACTAAAACCAGAGAGTTTCGAATGTCTAACAGACTTCTAACCATCCCCATGACTCAGTTATTTTCTGTGTTTCCATCTACTTGGATTTCACACATGACTTAGTCAGCTCTTAGCAGGCTACTCTAAATGTGGGCTGCAGGTGGCACCTCAATATCGAGGGATCTCCTGGTCAAGCAACAGGTTCAGGGCTTCAGCTTCCACGACCTGGCCTGGTTTTACCAGGATTTGTCCAAGAAAAGCTCCGATACATCAGTTCTTCATCAAACCTCACCTTTGGATAGGAGCAGGATTTAAGTCTCATCCAGAGAAAGCAGTTTTTCCTTTAATAATATCAGAAATGAATCGCCAGGAAAGTGCTGGTTTTTATATCTTAGGTGAAGCAGCACAAAGCAGAGGGAATCAATACCCCACAGTGAGAGAGAGTAATGGAGGGGGTGGGCACGCGTGCCTTTGGTGATGTCCTGAATGCTGCCGTGTCCCCCGGGAGCTCACCACCGCCCCGTCCCCGGCGTCTCCTCGAGGAGCCCCTCGGTCGCGGGAAGAGGTAGGAACCAAACTCGGATCAGATAAATGAAGGACAAACACAACGAGTTCGGGTAGGTCCTTTGGGGGGCGGGGGGGTACGGAAATCACTGTAACCCACCATATTTAAAAAGATGTTTTGCTTTGTGTTCCTCTCTGCTCTCTCCTGCTCCCTAACTCCTGCAGCGCGGAAGGCCCTGACCCTCTGTTCGTGTTATCTCCATCCCCGACGGCTCCTGCCCGCTCTCACTGCGCAGAGCCCGCTCCACAGGCGGATTGCCGCTGGATCAGTCCCAGCATCAAACCCGCCGGGGTGACTTTAAACCCACAGATCACGCTCCTGCAAACCTGCTATTTTTTCCAGTGCAGACGGGTATATGCAAGTGTCCCAAGGGCGAGCGCCAACACGCATCAGTCTTCAGCATCATTAAGGCTCTCTAATGAGACGCAACCACAGGCAGTTTTGCCGGGCAGAAGTAATTCAGCTGAAAAGTGTTTGCAAGCTCCGAAGGCGGGTTTGTCCTACGGCGTCAGCTTCTCAGCCTCTGGATTTCCATTTGCGGCCACCAGCGACCCATGGAAGCAAGGCAGCGGGGCTGTCACACCAATGGAGATACCCACCTGCCCGAGCTCAGCACATCTTCCCTCTGAGCACCAACGCTGCAACGGCATTAGGGCTGCATCGCCAGGCAGGAGAGGGGCAGAGCCCCGCAGACGTCCTCAGCACCACGATGGGCAACACGGCTCCTGCAGGCTTGGAGCAACACAGCAAGTCCCCCTCCTTTGCTGTTTCTCTGACTGCAGGCAGGGAGGTGTCAGGGTCCTGTCCCCCCAAATTCCTTGCTGTGCTCCCATCCTCCATCCCCCCAGGCCGACGGGGACCACCAGCTGTTGCTCACGTGAGCCACAGACCCCGCAGGGTTGCACAGATCGGCACAGGGAGATGCGAGACTTGACCGCAAATTTTCAGGGCACTTTGCACCACGTTTTCACCTTGTTCTCTGGACACAACTCAGCTCCTCTCCCCATCCCAAAAAGTCCTGTTGGCAGCCGCCCACGGCCACAAAGCCCACGGACGGACCCTGCCCCGCTGCTTCAGACCCAGCTTCAAGCTGAATCCTCCTGCCAGTTAAAACTAACCCATGCCCCGAGTTGGCACGCTGGCTTCTTTTCTTACGCTGATGCATGGCGATAAGAGGATGAAACCACAAGGGCAAGTAATGGGATAGCGGCCGTGACCTTCCCAGCCCAGCAAAGCTCATTATCTGCTCCGAAGGTCCCTCTCCACAAGCAGCCCACATGCAGCGGGCACAGAAATACCCAGTTGGGCACCAAGGATGGAAACTGCCGGCTGTCCCTGGCTCAGGGGGCTGAGCCCTTTAAAACAATGCGCTAGGAGATCACCTGTAATTATCCTACTGCAATTAAACACAGTTTGTGAGGTATAATGGTAAATTAGGGGAAAAGGAGGTAATTACAGAGGAGCCACGTGAAGGTAGCCCCTCCAGCATGCCACCAGGCAGATGGGAGTCATGGGACGCAGAGGAGAAATCGCTCGATCAGTCTACGGCAATCAACGTCCTAAATAAAAATCACAGCAGATAAAGTCCCAGGTCCTACCATCCCAAGGCTAACGAGCATCGCGGAGGATCCATGCTGTACCCCAAAGGGAAACCTGCACCGACAGCCTTCATTTACAGCCATATAAAAAAAGAAAAATCCAAGCGTTGGAGAGGTGGCCGTCAGCATTGCAGACTTTCTCCGCCAAGCACGGGGAAGTTCTGGGAAGGTGACTGGGATGGTGACTGGGATGGTCCTGGTGCGGTCTCAGACCCCGCCGGAGGCAGCGGTACTTCCACGCAGCTGGTCGGGACGACGCTTGCTCCTGGCAGCATCCCACAACTTGTGTCCGTGTGGATTTAGGGGCCAGCTGGGGTACGTACAGGGTTTATTCCCTGTTTTCAAAAGACTGCTGGGCCACCTTTCTGCAGCCTTTTCCGCTGTAACTCAGACACTGCCACAAGCGCCCTGCCAGTGGCCTGTCCAAACCACGGCACTCGTGGAGCATCTGGACCCACCCAGGCCAGCATCACGTCTGCTCCTTGGAAGAGACGTGGTGCCAAGGCTGCAAGTAAAGCGAGGAGCCGCTTCATGTCTCTGCACAAGTTGCCCTAAATCTCAACCACTGTGACTGCAAAAGCTTTTGGAAATGCAGCTGCTGGGAAGCCCTGATGTGGCACTGTCGTCACGGGGGTCCATCCTCGCTGATGAGGACCCCGTGGAGGGTACTGAGAACCAGGAGACTCCCAAGGGACCTCAATCCCAAGGGTCTGTCTCCTCTTGGGGAAGGATCCAGCCCAGACAGGAGAGGCAGAGGTGCAGCTCCACATGTCCCCTCCTCGCAGGAGATGAAGGGTGGGAGACGCTGTGCACAGGGAGAGGCTGCCCCTGCCTCCCAACCATGCCAGCAGTGCCTTGGGACCTCCAGCCATGGTCCAGCCATGCCCAAAGCAGCACCAAGAGCAATGCTGCACCACCTCGACCCGCTGGGGCAGCCGAGGAGGACCGGCTGCAGCAGGAGACGGTGGGACAAGGTCCCAGGACGAGCTCTGACCCAAGCAAGGAGATAAATCACTTTGTGCCCCTACTCTGCTGAGTCCTGACCTCAGAGGGGTTTGGCTCACTGCTCTGCACCACGCTGGGATGAATCCCGGCTCTGCTCCACTCCTGTGCCACTGACCCTGTCGCAACAGCTCAGCCAGCATTCAGCATCTGGGCTGAGAGCACCCACAAGCTGCTCACCCTCATCACCCCCTTGCCTTCTCCTGTTTTGGGAGAAGCCAGGGGCCGAAGGGCCCGGGAACCTCCTGTTACCCCCCCAGCACCCACGTTGCCTCAAACAGGGGCTGGGAGCACCCGAGGAGAGCCTGGACCTTCTGCTTCACTGCTCACACGCATCGACGCTCCCCAGCTCCATCAGTGGGTTGTGTCGCATCATCCCCAACAGCAATGGATCTTGCAAACCGCACAGGATAAAGACAGGCAGCCCTTTTTGGCAGCAGCGATCCTCCCTCTGTGGGCAGCCGAG